TAAAGTTGAACAAAACAGTAGAGAACAAGACCAATAAAATTTAGGCATTGTAAACATTACAGGACTTCCAAAGGAGACAATAGTCAAACCAGAATGGGCATCTTAGTGAATCTTATTGCCTTCAAAGTAGTTGCCTGTACCCTCAAACTTGATACTATCATACAGAATGGAACAGAGTCCTACTCTCAAACTTAACCTCCCAAGTGCTTAGCCTCCTGAGTGCTGGGATTACAGGTATGTACCAACATGCAGGGCTGGCTATTCTTCATGGTTGTGGTTTCCTTAACTCAGGGCCCTACAAGCAACTGCAACACCGCTTCCACATGGATGAGTGTTTTAGTTACAAACTACAGTGAAAATGCTAGAATGTGTCAGATAAGGAGTAGGAATTTTTCAGCAGGCTCATAAACAGATTAGATAAAAATGGTTAGATTTAATAATGGTAAAATGTTGTATTCTGTATTAATTAGTTTCAAAGATAAAGAATAAGATGATGGTAAAAATAGAATTCCCAAACTAAAAGTCATCCTTAGAAGGAAAAAGTTTGATAGGCTTTAGTTGGCTCTAAGTTTGAGGAAATAGGTAACTCTTTCCCGTGTTTAATTTTCATAATGGTTACTTCGATTATTCATTTCTTTCTCACTTGGCCCAGCCCTTTACATGTTTTGATACATAGTATGCCTGCTCCTTACAACTGTTTTGCAAGGCAAATGTTACTCATTCAACTGTTTAGCAACAAGTATGTTTGTGTTAAGCCTGCCTGGCTGTTTACTGACTGATGGAAAGCAGTTTGGTTTCCCTGCCCTTAGCGTTTTGCATTGTTGGAAAGACAGGCAGATGAACAGATTACAGAACGCCTTGTGTGTTTGTGTACACTCTTCAGGAATCTCTAGCCTCATCAGGTTCTAGAAAGCAACATGGCATGCCTACCCATGCCTGTACTCGTGGTCATCATCTTTAAGAATCTTTCCTGTGGCAGTACTTGAAAAGATGTTTGGCAGTGATGGTAATTGCAGGTTTTGCAGCAAAATGTTGAAGGAAAATGGCAACATTTTTGTAAGAATCACTAGTTTCTTACCTTTGGCCAGAAGGTTGGAGACGTAGGAGAGTGGCAATTTTTTGTATGTTACTATTGACTTCAGTATGATACAATAAATGTAATTTGTCTTGGAATACTTTAAAAAGTCAAGTTTTATTTTAAATAAAGATGGTAGGACAGTTATGTCCAGGGTTCTATGGGGCACGTCGGACCCGGTATGGAGAGGGAGAAGGTCAGGAAGGTTCCCTGGAGAGGATGACCTTGCTGGGCTCAGGATGGGTGTATAAGCCGCAGGGGTCACAGAACAGGAGCACCAGGTGGGCCTCCGGCAGCTCTCCCTGGCCATCATGGCTTCCTCCTCCTCGCTCGTCGGTGTGCGCAGTGCCCTGGGATGCTCCCACGGGTTCCAGGCCTGCACTCTCACCTGCTGCCCTCTCAGTCCACACATCTCAGTTCTCACTTGGCCCATGACGAAAACAGTTGTCTCCAGCCCGCGGTCTGCTCTCCACCTCCTCCTACCTCAGTCGTGCTCCTCTCTGCTGAGTGAGCTTTCAAAAATGAGTGAAGACCTTGTTGTTTCCTTTCCTAAACTTTCCGGGTCACCCTTTGTTGCTGTCTCCCTCTGAGGCAGGTGTGAGAAGCCTTGCTCACACAGTATCTGCTATTTGTGTTACCTAGAATGATCTTCATGTCTTTATAAATCCCAGTCTTCTTACCTAGCAAGGGGGAGAGGCAGTGAAAGAAAGTCTGTGATGTGGGTTTAGTATCGTTGATTATTAATTTATTAACTTGTGAATAGTCTCACTAAATCAGCTTCATTTCTGGGAGTTGATGTCCATAATTTCCTTTTATTTTCAACAAATGAGAAATTAATATATTAAAGAGAAAATGATCTTTTTGTAGCTTTGGAATGGTTTCTTTTGTAAAAGTTTTTGAATGGATGTTTGCAGTGACAGGGCAGAGTCTCCACACACAGAATTTGCAAATCTGGCATTAATTTGTTACTTGTCTGTTCTAAATCCGGCTTCAGTCTGCTTTTATAAAATACACGTTGTTCTAAAACCACTGCATTATGTCAACAGTCTTTATTTGCTTTGGCTAAACTTAGAGTTAATGAATAAAAGGCGTACAACCAGGTGATAGCACTCAGGAAGATTCACTTTTAAAACACACTACACATTATGCTTCCATCCCTCTTGGTGTCTGTTATTTTCCTATTACATAATTGTAACAAATAACCATTGTTAAATAAATACTGGGAGTTAGTTTTGGCTTGATTTTCACAAATGTTTGCATTTAGAAATACACTTGGCAAGGTGATATTGATATACTATCTTCTGGCTCCCCCTGGTGGACATTTATATAAAATACTTAGCTGTGGCCATGGCCCCCCCCCCCCCCCAATCTAGGGCCCTATATGGGCAGAACACAGGTTTTTAGTTATTCTGATCTTTTTGGTTGAAAGGAGAGACAGAAAAAGCATTTTCATTTTGTAAATGCCTCATTTTATAGAAAATAAGTACATTGCTGTTAAGTAATAGCAATAATAATATACACGACAATAGTTCTGTTATTACTGTTTTTCTTGTTATTAAGTAGTGACAGTGTGGAGATTACAGCATGAAAGAGAATCAGGGGCAGATTTTTACCTTGAAAGTTTGTAACATTTCTAGGAAATGATAGAATGCATGCTAAAATTCAATAATAGAATTAGTGCAAGGGTTTAATCCTATCTCATAACATTTTCCAGAATCTTTCAAAAGTTAGACTTTTCACTCAATGATACATAATTTTGTGATTCTGGGAAATGATTATTTTTATTTTGAATTAGTTTACTTTAATGAATTTGTACTATTTGCTAATTTGTGATCTGAGTTTATGGAGTCACTAAAATTGCTTTACCTTTATTTTGGGGATTTAATTGATAACAAGTTTATCAGTGAGCATATCTTGCCTTAATATCAGATGTGTAGCTTAGAAAGCAGGAGGGGGTTGACACAGGTCTTCAGTTACACCCTCTTCCCATGTAACAGCAGGAGGCTGGTGTTAGAATGTTGAATTTGAGGTCAACAATTTAGCTTATCTGGTCACCAGGACCTTTGATTCATTTAACCCTTAGAACCATTCTATAGAATTCTGCTTCCTTCTGACTTTTATTAGTTAAACTTAAAAAATGAATTTTTTTTTCATATTGAGAAATAAAATTGTTTAAATTTGTCATGTAGAGCATGTCATTTTGAAATACAAGTTCTCTGTGGATGTGTATGTGGCCAGATGGAGCTGATTATCACATACAGCCTCACATACTTTAGTTTTACTAGTGTGAGGACACTTAAGAATGTTTGTTCAGTTTTCTAAAATATAATGCAATACATTGTTTCTATCTGTAATAAATGTTATTTCTGTGTAATTTTTATAACAAAAGCTCACATTGATCAAAAAGCCTTTGATGGGCATTACTTAATTCTTTAGCTTTAGAGGCAGCTAGCTGCTATTAATGGCACTTTACAGAGGCTGGTAAATTAAGTGTAGGTAGAAGGTGTGGGCCAGGGCTCCTAATGTGCTCACTCCCCAGCTCTGAGCTTCTGGTCACTGTAATATCGGGCTCCCTAGTAGGCAGGAGATGAGTACAGGTGTGATCAATACTTTTGCGTGGCTTCGACAGAGGCCTGGAGATTTTAATTTTATGCATCTCTCTGTATCAAGGACACCTTAACGCAGAAAGCTTTCTACATTTCCCTCTCATTCTTAATGGACCTAGTGGTAGATGATAGAGCTTCTTTAAATTTGTTTTCTTTAATTCTGAAAGTAATGACCAATTATATCCATTGTCACAAAAATACATTTTATGAGAAAATTAGTTTTTATTAAGTCATTGACTTCTTCACTAAAGTCTTAGAGTAAGATGATCCTAGGTATAGTGTTAGCTGTTCTTATACTCTTATTATTAGAAATTTTGTTTTATTTTCACATAAAAAAGATTACACCCCAAAACACTGAAGGAAGAATAAAATTGCTAAGTACTAATGCTAAAACTGGAGCAGGGCAATTTACATTGAGATAGCAAACATTTTCATACAGAATCTTTAAAAGAGATTGAAGTAATTGATGAGTTTTTTTCCCTAAAACTAGTGGCAATTTCCTTAAAATAGTGATTATAAAGGATTGCTACCCTGTACTTTATATGTGTTATTTAACTTACAATAGTGTAATGCTTATTTACTGTTATTAGAGATATTATCCGGGTGAAGAAACTGGAGCCCAGAGAAGTCTTGTGTTGGTTCAGAGTTATCTGGCCAGGATTCAGACTTATGTGGTCTGGTTCAAGAGCCCGGGCTCTGAACCCCTTGCTGTACACTAGTGTGATTCAATAGACCTGCTGTGATGATGGAAATATTTGGTACCTGTGTAGCCCAATAAATGGCTACTGTGGCTCCTTAAAATGTGACTACTACTACTTAGGGACTGATGTGTTATTATTTATAGTGCAGGTGGGGATTTAGCTCAGCAGCATAAGTGCCTGCCTAGCAGTTGCAAGGTCATGAGTTTGATCCCCAGTACCAAAACAAACAAACAAACAAAAAATTGTAATTACCTTAAAAAGTGTCTTGTGGCCAGTAGGAGCTATGCTGGTAAACACAGCTTTCTGTGGTCTTTCAGAATCTATAGAAGCAGAGACACCAGCTGTTTGGGATCACCAAGTCCTTTTGTTTCACTGACAGGAAACTACAGCTCAGGTGAATTAGCAATCTGCTTTAAGTCATGAAGTTAAACATGGAGATGAAGTGTAGGATAGGTATTCATGCTCCTCAATCAGAGCTCCTCTCATTCTATATTCTCTAGCATCTAAATTTTTGTTTCTCCTCCCAGTGTTAATATTGAACTAGAAAACTATTGGTTGGAGGAAAAATGTTATCCTCTCTCAAATGCCTAGCTAATAGATACTTTCCTCTTTTCCCAGGTTATAGAAACATTATCACGGCTTTCTCGTACACCAATAGCATTGGCCACAGGGATCAGGTAAGCTCACTTTTTTGTGTCTCATCTGTCACGTTCAGCTCAGTGTAATGATTATATATTGAATGGTTTCTGTTTGGAAACATATTTAGGGACTGTGTGGCGCACATGACAAGTACGTGGCATATAGGTACCAAATATACCTTTGAAATGTCTTGAGCAACTAAAAATTAATTCATAGAGTTCAATAACATATATTGCCTAAACACCATTCTTCTTTCATTGGTGTCTGTCACCAGTATGTTTTTGGTTTTATTTTATTTTTTTTTTGTATTTCCAACAAACACAGACTTTTAAATAATAATAATAAAATCAGATAACTATAAAGTAATATATATATATATATATACAGGATATATATTAAAGGTTTGGTCATACATTATAAATTTGGAAGTAAATAGACTATGTTATCTTGCAAAGCAATATTTTACAGTTGGTAAACATGGCAATATATATGTGTTGTTTGAGGTCTTTTCTGTTTCCAGTACTAGATGCTTAAGTTAGGTTGATCAGTAAATTTGTTTTGTAACAGTTCAGTAGCAACACAGCCAAGCTACATAGAAATGGAGTAGGTTTTGTTTATCTTATTTCCTTCGGGGCTTCTTATTCCAGCACCCAGCCATTATGCGGTTCTGTAAGGCTGCATCTTGGCTTCTAATCTTCTGTGATTTTTGTGACCCAGCTCATAGTCACATCCTAAATGAGCGGAACCAAGCACATCGTACAGGACTGCTTAGAACAGGTCAGACAGCTCGGCTTGTGGACACAAAGCAGGTGTTCTGAAGTCCCTTTCAGAGCAATGGACTATGAGTTTGGCAGCTTTCTATAGCAACGCCCTGTAGCCTGGATAATTCTTCAGGGCTTCTTATTTTGCTTCCTGACACATAAGCATATTGTAATCTCAGTGTATATTTTGGTATGTGTAAGCAGTATGTTTTGAAAAACATGATCCATTTTCCATGTATTTATGTATTTTTGATTCTGAAAAGGTATCAGTATTTTTCTTTTTAATTTTTCTTATCTTTATTTCCCAAAGTGGGCTACAATTTTCTAGTATGGATTTAGTAGTATTGACATAAAAGTACAATAATACATGGCTAAATTTATTAAAAAAATCAGTTCAAAACTTTGAATTTGTCATATATGTGATTTTTGGGAAAAACTTAGATTCCTTAAATGTTCTAAGTATTAAGTTAATCAATATACTATTGTAAAAGTCTACTTTTTCAATATGACTATTAAAAAATATTTAAATTTCTAATTATTTTGCTGGTTCTTCATTTATGGAATATATAACATCCTTGCTATGAAGAAAGAGTAAAGCATATGACAATAGTATGATGTGACTTTGTTGGGAATACATTGGGAGTATTATATTTTTATTAAAAAGTATATAATATTATGAGGCAGATAAGCCAGCTGATGAAATAGGAGACAATGTGTGTGTGTGTGTGTCTGTGTGTTTTGTGGAACAGGAACAAAGATATTGAGACAGTACCCTATTCTATCTGAGGTCCAGTTGACTCATTTGTTCAAAAAATAAAAATAAAACATACTATTTAAATACTGTAAAGTCTGAGTGGAAAAATATGTCAGGGTTAAGAATCATATTAAGGACCTGATGTATTTTTGTCTTTTATTAATTTTCATTTGTACTAATAAATGGAATTATGGAAGGATGGCAGTTACTAAATTGTCCTATCAGATCTTATAATTAAAAAGACAGTGCTGAAAGCAAAGGTACAAGGATGGCCACTTTTTCTCTGGATGGAACACTGCAGTGGGTCCTGTGGGTGACCCTACAGGTGCGTGGCAGGGGAGGACGAGATAAGCACATCTGTGTATGCTCAGCTGCACATGTGTCTGTGGCAGCCAGCTGCAACTGTAGCAGATGATTTGGGGTAGCAGGTGTCACTGGCCTTCTGCTGGAATCACAGTCACAACAGCTCAGCAGACGCTCTGCGGGGAGCCCTGGACATCAATAGATGTGATCAGTGACTATTTTGGCAGCAGATAAGCTTTCATATTTAATGGGAGGTAAAAGTTCAAGTTAGTTGCTACTCACTCACCTGTATTTTTTCCCCTTTTCTAGGCCCTTTCCAACAGAAGAAAGCATTGATGATGAAGACATCTACAAAGGCCTTCCTGACTTAATAGAGTACGTTGATCATTTTCAGCAAAACTAAGGCTCTTCCAGTTCTGACATCTAGCATGGATCTTAATTGGGGATGTGAAATAAACTCTCTGAGGAGTAAAGGTGACTTAGTGATTAAGACATTTAGGAATTAATCTTAAACTGATGACAGAACGCTTCAATGAAAGGCACACATTGCAACTGGCGTTTAGTTCCTGTTGTGTGCCTCTTTGAAGGGTGACGAAGCAGATTGCAGTCAAGTTAAATTTGGATGTTTCTCAAAGGCATAATAGAGTAGTAGGGGAAATAGGAATTAGACAATTATGGAATAATTTAAAAGAAATACAACCTATGACTGGAATTGTAGGACAGGTAGTGTGTGCTTTCTAAGTTTCAAGGAAGGGCCAGTTACTGTAAGTATGAGCTGAAGTTTTTCAGGAATATTTATTAGATGCACTTATTTTGAACAGGGATTCCTGAGGGTCTTTAGTATTCAATAGTTAGGACAGGTAGAATTTCTTGGCAGTTGATTCTCTTCTATTGATTGAGTGACTCGTGAAGAGTATGAATATAAGACATGATACTTCTCAAGGAACTCATGACATAGATCAGGTGTGTTTGTAAGAATTGTAAGGAATAGATTATGTTCCAATAGAGATTCTTAGATCATACAGAGATTCATTCTCCAAGAGAAATGCACCCACTTATCCATTCAACAATATGCACTTATCTGGAATTTTTATGTTTGCTGTTTCTTTTGTCCATAGGACTGGTCCCTCACCACTCGGGTCTCTTGTCAGATATATCTCTATAGAGAGACCCTGCCTGCCTTGTCTAGAATTTCCACTGCCCATGTATTTTACTTTGAATTTTCATAGCATTTACAACTGCCTGAGACAATCTGGCTTGCTTCTTTTATTGTCTGTTTCCTTATTAGAAGGCAAAATTCATGAAATGAAGGACTTTACTTTCTTAGTGGCTGTGTTCTTAGAATTTCAGTGCCCGGTGTGCAGTAGGTCAATATGTGAATGGATGAGCCCGTCAGAACGGCATTCTGCTTTGGGCCTGAGGTCAGTTGGCAGTAAGAGCGTGTTCAGTGTTCATTCAGGTGCTAACCATGTTAGCGTGATCTCATGTAATGCCTCAATGTTACTGGCTTTCTACAGTTATCATAACTTGGTAATGAGAAAAGCCACACTTGGAAAAGCTAAGTGACTTTCTGAAGTAGTGTCATTAGTATAGTCTTGAACTTGAACTGCAGGCAGTTCTTGCTCTGGAGCACAAGCTCTCACGCGTGCACGGCCTTTCAGTTGTGCCTCTGTTCAGCCTCTGAGAACTCTCACCCAGAGAGCAGGGAGATGTGCTCTGCCTGGAACCAGCACGACAGGTGTGCAGCAGCTCTTTCCAGAATACTGGGTGGCATTTGGAATGGTCTTGAGGTCTTAGTTTTTAGATATCTCTCGAGAGATTTGTTTCTCTCTTCCTAAAACTTCTAAGAATTCACTGACACTAAGCATGATGGGTGCTAATTGTTGCATTAAATTCGCTATGATCATCATAAAGTGACCATAAACTCACTGGTCTTGTCATCAAACTCTTTAAAATATTAGGAAGAATTTATTATTTGCAGGGCTATAATGGTATTTTTCTTCTTAAAATCCCACCAATGATCACTTATTCCTATTAATGATTACTTAAACCTCCCATCTTTTTTTTGCACATTTTAGGCAGATTGAGTATTTTAGAAGGATAGTATTAAGACAGGATCCCCAAGACTAAGAGTAACAGAGAATAGATTCGTAGTCCTTTTTCCATCTGAACAGGTCCTGTTCCATGGAGCAGTTTCCTTTATCATTTCTTATCTTAGCTCCCTAAGAAGACCTAACCATCAATGTGTTCCAGATAGGACTTAAACCGACTTAATCATCTATCATTCCTGGCCAGATTGCTTGCCTGGACCTTTCAGTATGGAAATCATGGCAGTGCCAAGATGGCCCCCATCTCCTCAGATTCCTAAAGTGCATCCCTCATTTCTTCCCTCTCTTCCTAATGCTGATTGGCTACCAAGTCTGATTGATGATACACACTCATAATATTCTACATTCCTCTTCTCATCTGCCTTTACAATGGTTATAGCTCCGTATCTCTCTCACTCTTGGTTTATTGGTCTCTTTGCCTATCATTCCCTTCCTCCGTCCTACCCCATATAAAACCCCCTGTAGATCCCCAAATACCAGGGTGAGATTGAATTCAGAATTATGGCCTTTTGAAGTTTGGTTTCAACTCTTCTCACTGACAGTCTATTCTGCTTATCTGGGCACAGTGACTGCAGTGCCAGTCCTCACATGATCATGCTCATGCTCTTTTCTCCTGTGCCATGGGTGTGTTTGTCCTGTTTGCCTTTGAATGTCAGGAAAGAAGAAATTGTTTCTGTCTAGTCTGCAACCATGTCTCCTGGAGGACAGCATTTTCATAGCAAGCATCAGTTGAACAAGTGGATAAATATACTTAAGCTCCAGCTAAAATGAAATCATCTTTTGTGAAGCCTTTCCTAACTTCTTTCATTAGAGCTATGTTTTGCTCTTTCTTGTGGTCCTATATTTTAGATTTACTTCCCTCTCTGCATATACAGAATTATGTGTATGGGCTGTTCTTTGTACAAGACAATAGGAAAGTTTTTGATCTCTGCATTCTGAGCCTTGAACTCAGTCAGTTCTTAGCAGGTAACTGTTAGATGGATGGATGGGTGGGAAGGTGGGTGGACAAGGAACTATGAAATTAATTTTTCTCTTAGATGAGTTCTCTGAAACTTCTGTTGCCACTAAATCTCTGTCCCTTAATACTCTTTCCTTTTCTCTGAGTGTTTGACAGTTCATTCCTGTCAATTGCCTTCAAATAATCCTTTCTGACAAGCATAAGCAACCCTGTGATTGTACATGTTTTGAAAAATGTTCCAAGTTGCAGCGTGACATTTACATTTACAGTGCATTCATATCAATTCATAATGTTCAGTCCGCCCAGGCCCAGGAGAGGTACTTAAGGCTGGTGGTATTAAAGGAGTTGAGCTGCTTTCTGAGAACAATTCATTCATCCCTGCACCATGTCTACACTGAATAATTTTAATTCTGTGGGATTATTAGTTATTAGAGGGCACTTAGAAAATCTTGCACTCAAAGGAAAAGCTTAAGGGTAGTAGTAGAACACGAATGACTGGACCATGGGACTGTGTGTATTCAGGGACTCACGGGGCCTCTGAGAAGAGCTACTGTCAGTCACTGTTTGAGTGTTCCTGGAAGCTGGAAAATAGGGAAGTAGAGCAGTAAAACAGTGAAAGAAAGAACACTCAAGAGTGTAAGATCATGGCTTCATCCCTGACTAGTTGTGTTGTCTTTGACAGGTCAAATAACCCTTTTTGGTGTCTTGGCTCCTTCATCTCTGTAATAAATCCAAAGGTATACCTAATTACATAAGTGTTGTGGGATGAGATAAGTCAGATAGTACTGCAGCATGAACGTTTATGTGCTTATGCAAAAGTAGGTAACTGGTAAATGTGAGCTACCATCAGTTTCGCTGTTGGACCCTGTGGTCATCCATCTTATTAGAAGGGACAGGGCTACAATGCGAGTCTTTCCCACTGATTCTGTTTTATTTCCTCTTTAAATTTCTACCAAAATCAGTAGAAAAGTTTTAGTCTGTTTTCTGCTAAAATTTAAGAAGCTATTACTAGCTACTGGATTTACTGCATGATAGAGAGTAAACTGCTGTCTACTTTGTTTTAGTGAAACTCGTGTGGAAGATGAAGAAGATCTCTATGACTGTGTTTACGGGGAAGATGAAGGTGGAGAAGTCTATGAGGACTTGATGAAAGCGGAGGAGGCACACCAGCAGGCAGGACATTTGCTTGTGTTGCACTTACTCTGGAGGGTTCTATTAAGAAATTGATTACTTGAAAACTCTGTTAATATAGCTATTTAGATAAGCTCTGTGGGCTTACTCACTGCTCTGTTTTACCTTTGTCTCCTTATAACTATGCAACTGTGACTTGTTTTTTCATTTGGAGCATGACATTTTACAGCTCAATAAGGAATCTCTAGTCTAATCCTTTCATTGTACTAGTAAGGAAACAGATTATCTGGGAGGTAAATAGCATGCTCCTCACTGAGTAGCAATAGAACATAATTTCAAGAATATGAAATTACCTGATTCTAAAAGCAAATCTCTTACAAAGAAGATACATTTTCTTTTAAATTTAATGCAAGGTAAAATACATGTCTGCACATATTTTAGGTGTTGTCAGGAGAGGGCAATCTTCACTTTGTTCCATTGTAATTCTGCCTTTTTATTATTTCATAAATTAGTTTGGATACTGTCATTTGGGCCCTCAAAGCTTTGTCTGCCTTAAATTGTATCTAGAACACTCAGAAAGAATTACTTTGAACAATCTTTTCATCTGTAATTTGAAATCTAAAAGTCAGTTACTTAGACTTTATCCTGAAGATGATTCCTCATCAGCTGGTGATTTAGGTTCTTCAGGACTTTGATGAACTGACTGACTCAGTTCTCTCTCTGCTCTGGCCTTTCATAAAGGGCTGGTGGGCTGTCTAGTCCACACTGGGGAGCAGTAGCTTATATGGGGAGGAAACAAGTCTTCCTGCCTGTGGCTGGAAAATATAATGAATGTGTGTTTTAACCCTCCGCGTGAGCTGACAGGCTGCCCGTGGCAGCATTTTCCGAGTGATTTTAGGTGACAGCGTATCATCTGCACTTCCTACAATTCTCACCTGCTTTGGTGTCAGCAGATTCTTCAGCATCTCCCTCAGGGGCAGCCTTCACTCAGCTGACAGCACTGGGTTGTTTATCGGGGATAGGGTTAATAGTAACAGTAATTTAGATATATAGAGCCTTTCTTGAGTTCCTGGCTAGATGTAAAAGTGCTTTACATGCTGCTGTTTTATTTATAACTTTTTGTATGTGGTTTTGTAGTTCTCCCTATTTTATAGAAGACAAAACTGAATCACAGAGAAATTAAATAACTTGTTCATAGTTAAAAGGCGAGTAACAAGGCAATATTAGAATCCAATTTCACCTTATCCTAGATTCTTTTATTTTAGTACTATTCTCAGTCAACTACAATCTGAAACACTCAGATGTTAGTGTTTGAAAAAAAATTTTTGAAGGGTCTCATTTATCTTTTTAATAGTATTGCAGTTAATTCTGTAGTACATGAGAAATATGCTGTATATTAAGGAAATTCTTACAAAATTTGTATTTAGGTGTTTTAGTTGATCATAATGTCTATACTCAGATGCTTATTTTTAATTACCTAAGTATTTTCAGTTATGTTGTTTAGATTTTAAAAAATATAGCACACACATGTCACAATTGCAGTTATGTGTACCTTTCTGTACATGTTTTTATTAGAATGGCATGTCAAAGAAAATCAGTAATGATTTCTATTTCTCCTTATCTACAACCACACAGATAAATACATGAATTTTATTAAATAATTTTATTTTTATTATTCTAATGGCAGAAAAGTCCGGAAAATGATATACGGACTTGTTGTCTAGCAGAAATTAAGCAGACCGAAGAAAAATATACAGAAACTTTGGAGTCAATAGAAAAAGTAAGTTGTCAGGTATTGATGCCAAAATACTGTGTTAAGCAGTTAGTATGTTAGATTCTCTGTTTCTGCGAAGTGTGTGTGTGTGTGTGTGTGTGTGTGTGTGTATGTGTGCTCATTAATCCTTGCAGTAGAACTTTGCATTTAAAGCCAAGCACAGAAACACAACTCCCCGTAGTTTCATTCATAGTTTGAATCTAAAAAAGTTGAATTCATAACAATAGAGAATAGAATAATGGTTATCAGAGCCTTGGCTGGTTGGGGTGGCTATGGGGAGATGTTGGTTAAAGGATATATAATTGCAGTTAGCAAAAAAGAATATTTAAAATACTTCTTTCAGAGTAAGCAAATATATAGCAACAGGAAGTAGACGGGTGAATCCCTGGGGCCAAAGGCTGGTGGTAACATGAGCCCTTGTGTGTAGAGGATGGGTGAAGTGGGGAAGGTGGAAGGTTTCTGGGACAAGATCATGTTGAAGCTGCAGCTGATGAATTTAGGGTGCAAGCCACACACATACCCTAGTGAGGATCATTCTGGGAGAAGCAGCCTCAAGTGGGAGAGTGCACCGTGAAGGGAAGTGAGTGGGAAGGCAGAGAGCTGGTGGGCCACCAGGGACAGAGGCTAGAGCATTTTGCACAAATATGATGGCTTTTAAATCATTAGCATTTCATTCATTGTGAGGCCAGTATGGGAACCGGGAGAACATCAAGTATTTGTAGTAAGATGACAAGAGAGATCGTAAGGGGTGGTCACATTCTAAGTAAATTTTAAAAGTAGAGCCCACTGAATTTGATAATGGATTAGATAAAAAATATTTGAGAAAAAGTAGAATCAAGGGTGACTGCTAGGCTTGGGCCTGAGCTACTGCATGAATGGTGAAGACGGTTACTGAAACAGAGAAGGGCAGCTTTTGGGGTCATGAATCTGTGGGCGTATTAAACTTGAAATACCTCTTAGACTTTTGATATCAAGGAAGATGTTAGACACATGAGTCTGGCATCAATGGGAAAAGTTGGGTTGACATAGAGGCTGGGTTTTTATAGTTCCACAATGAAATTTAAGGCCATGGGGCTAAATGAGTTCATCACAGGTAATGTAGATTCTTAGGGGAGAGGTTTGAGGGCATCTCTGCTGACTCTTACAAATTAGGAAAATGACAACCAGGAGAAAGTGTTTAGGGTTAGTAAAAGAGGTAAGATGAGGAAGAGTTGTTTAGGGGAGTGGGACAGCAAATTAACAAGGGAAATGAGACTATGTAGTGTCACAGAGCCCAATTGAGATTTGTTGTCATATTTAAAATCTCAGTGTAGTCCATGCTTCTTAGACACAAGTGTGAGCTGACAAGCTAAATTTAACCAGGGTTTTATTTTTCTGGAAAAGTACAGTGGAAGATGACAGAGTCAGTGTATGTTCAGGGAAGCAATTCCAAAGATAGTTCCTGGACTGTAACCTGGGTATGGAGGAGATGAGGCTGTGAGGAACGTGGCGGGCTCAATGGGCTGGTAAACCCAGGATGACTGAAGAAGTCCCATGTGGTGGTGGTCCAAGGGGTGGGTGTTTGAGATTTCATCTGTAGAACATATACAGTTATTGGTAGCATCCTGAAACATGACTATGAGATTTGGCAATTGAGCTACGCTGAAGCACAAGATTATTGGAGGTCAAGAAAATAACAAGGGAGAGTGTTGGAAGGATCATCTGTACAGATGGTCAAGAGTGAAAAAGGTGTGGTAGGCCACCAAAAGATCCAAGAAATGAGCATAAATTATATGAACAAATTATTGATCTCAAGGATCTTTATTCTTCACAAAGCATTTTTGTAGAAGTCCTCAAGTCTATCTCTAAAACGTAACCATTGATTACCAACCCAGCCAATAGCATTCTCTTTCTTACTTTCAGGAGGAATTATTATATAAAACCTTTTATTTTATACTTTATTTTATTTTTTTGTCTTTTTTCCTTTTTATTGGTACCGGATGACTGCCTGCTTGCAAGGCAGGTGCTTATGGTGCTGAGCTTAACCCCCAGCCCCCTATTTTATACTTTAAATGTTCTGGCTTATGTTTATGTTTTTATAGCTCTGAACAAGTATAAAATCTGTATCATAGTAGAAATAGCTTCTAACTTTTTTTGAATTTATAGTGCTTATAAGCAATTGACTTTCAATAAATGTTGTTTGTTGATGAAAAAACATTATTCAGATTAGGTCAAGTTATGCTTAATTATTAATTCCTTCTTTTTCTCCTGATAGTATTTCATGGCACCACTAAAAAGATTTTTGACACCAGCAGAATTTGACTCGGTATTCATCAACATTCCTGTAAGTAAAAACATGATATTCAAATTTGTGTGGTATGTCTGTAAAATCCTTATTTTCTTAATGAGTTTCAGATGAATTTTGACCCTATTTTTTGCTTCTCAAGTTCTTATGTCATTACTTTCTTGAAAAACTCGTAAGTTACATCTTCAACCAAAAGTCAGTCAAAATGCATGCAGAACACAAATGGGTAAGTCAGGCTCATGTGTTATCTTGACTCTTGTCATGATGAGGTAGGCTCAATTGAATAATTCACTAATTCTGCCTGCAACTTGGGTTTCTCCTCCAGTCCCATGTCCCTGATGGTTCCTTCTTTGGGCCCCAGGACTTTAGCTATCTTTTCTCCTCCTCTTGGGGCTTTCTGCTTCTAGTTTTGTTACTCTTAACCACTTATGTCTAAAACTTTACTTCCCTATAAATTATTAGACTATTTTAATGGCAAAATGGAAGGAGTTTTCTTCACATTTATGTATATATTTTGAGTTTCCAGGTCACCTGACCATATTCTTATAAAGTATAATCTGCTCAGAGATGTATAATCAAGCTAAGTGCTATCCCAAATTGGTACTGCTAGGCAAAATTCAAGTTCTGAGACCTTTGGAATTTAGTTTTCACACACACACACACACACACACACACACACACACACACGGACACACTCATTTTTAGCTATAGGCTTTCTTGTATCACATGAGAAAGTCGCTTATATTTGGTTCTATTTTGTTCTGTTTGCTGAGCACCCGCTGGTAAGCCATGCCATGTCTTCTTTGTCTTGGTTGCTCATCTAAAGACATTTTTGCTGATTCGTAACATAAGTTCAGGAAATGCTCACAATATTAGATGAAAGCTTAACATAAAACAAAGTGCCCAATATAGGAAATAGAGATCTTAAACTACTTAAGTATGGTCACTGTAATTTATAATCCATTGATTGTCTGCATGTGCATTGCTTTTCCATGCTCCTCAACAAAATGACAGGACCAATAAATAGATTGATGTTTGTTTCTACCTAACTCAGCAAAAAGTATGCTTTGTGTACTCCAAGACACAGAGAAAGAGATACCTTGATTCAAATTTCCTGACTTTCAAGTTGCTGAAATATATTTACTGGCTGCTGAAAATAACTCGCTTATGAGCACAAATATGAAATTCTGACTTTTGAGTTGCTCTAGTAAACTGTCTAGTACAATTTATTTGTTTCTTGTTTATGCCATTAGTTGTCTGGTTTCAAGTAATTTAGTCTGATTATTGTTAGCTTAGCACCAGGACACCACTAATTGACCAAGGACATGAATCATTACTTTATTCTGTCAATAAACATTAAGCACTTAGATAGTTTTATTTAAAAATTTGAAGTGATTATAAAATAAAGCTGTACACGTTTTTACACAAGAAATAAATTATCCTTTAAAAACTAGTGAGATGATTTTTCTCCCCACAGGACACTGACATTTCTAGTCAGATCTGAGATTGCTGTTTCCACGCATGTGTCTTGGTTTCCTTCTCTTCCTGACTCCCTCCCTCTTTTCTTCTCCCTCTTTTACTTTCCCCTCCTTTTCTCTGATCTTCTCCTTCATCTCCCTTTTTCATCCCCTTCTTCTTCCTGTGTCCTCTCCTTTCTCTTCTCTTCTCGAATGTTAGCAAGTTTATATGTTTATGAGAGACAGATCTGGAAATACTGAGGTTCTGGGTTTGGGGTATAAATGTCGGCTCTGATTCCTACTTTTCTTTCACATTGTTTTCTCTTCTAAGGAACTTGTAAAAGTTCATCGGAGCTTAATGCAAGAAATTCATGATTCCATTATAAATAAAAATGACCAGAACTTGTATCAAGTTTTCATTAACTACAAGGAAAGGTAACTTTTGAATTTAAAGTTTTGTGTGTATTAGTTTGGAATTATATGAAGGTTAGTGTTAATATATACAGATCTTACTACTGTTTGTTGAAATACTATCTGAACATTTGAATATAGGACGATTAATCTCAGAGTAGTAGCTTGAACTTTCCATGTGATTTAAAAAGAAAAGGACTCAGTATAATACCTAGACTTCAGCAAATCAAAAGGCTGAGACTCACCGGCCAGTTACTACTGAGTGGTGGCTTGTCATTTTAACTGAGTCTCCTGTTCCTTATTTGTAAGTATTGAGAATAGATTAGCTGGTACCAAATACTTCCTCCGACTCTAATGTTTTATGATTTTCTATTGTGATGCAATGGAAAAAATCTAAATGAGATTTAGAATTGAAGTCAGTTTCCCTTACTAAATTATAAAAGATCTCCTGAGTGAATCATAGGGATTTGGAGTATCAAGACATTTTGCTTAAAATGTGTTTTTTGAGACAGAGCCTCACTATGCAGTTCAGGCTGGCCTTGAGCTCTTGAGCTCTTTGTATCACAGGCTGGTCTTGAACTTGAAATGATCCTTCTGCCTCAGCCTCCTGAGTGCTGGGATTACAGGTGTGCACCACCATGCTCGACTCTGCTGAAAATGTAATGTTCTCTCAATGTAAATCAAACAGTATAACTCCTAGTGCTAAGATATAGCTAATGAATTGTTTTGTTCAACTGCTAGGTAAATATTAATAATTTATTAGTAGTTTTCCAATGGTGAGTTAAACAATAAAACAAATAATATTCTTGTAAAAAAATCTACAATACAAGGATATTGTTCCATGAGTGGGCTCAGAATCTGTGCAGTATAAATTATCTTCCATCCTGCAAAATTTGAGCCTCATTCCCAATTTTGATATGATTATGTTCTTAATGAAAAAGGGATAAAGAACAGAAAGTTTATTAATGAGTAGAGTTATAGTGATTCCAATAAAATTGTGGTAGAAAATAAAACTTCTAAGTAAACAGTAAAAAGTTTATAATAATTTATGAAGAACTTTTTTGAGAAATATGTGTTTGTACTCAAATAACATTAATAGTTATCATACCAGATTGTAACCTCTACCTGCTATTTTATATATATGCATGTATATGTGTGTGTATGTTTGTATATATGGTGTTAATCCTTTGGAACTCACAGTGAGTCTTGTTATTGCTGGATATATGAGTGGTCCTCCTTCTGTAATTGTGTGTGTGATGTGTTCAAAAAGAACTTCTGCTTTGCTTATCTCTAAGTATGGTTTAAAAGAGGTGAAAGGTCTGTCTCTGTTCCCCTCCACTGCTTCTTGCTTTTGGCCTCACAGATTTCTTCCTCTTTTTCATTTCAGATTGGTTATTTATGGGCAGTACTGCAGTGGAGTGGAGTCAGCCATCTCTAACTTAGATTATATTTCTAAGACAAAAGAAGATGTGAAACTAAAGTTAGAGGTAATTGTTTATTTTTGCTTCTGATCTATGTAAAATAAACTTCAAAAGCCACATAGTCCTCTTCCTGATTAATACAGCATTTATCTCCATGTTCTAAACACATAATTTTATGTAATTTGTATAAAATATTTTAGTAGATAGCTCTATAAAGTAATAGGGTAATGACAACAGAATTTAACTTTTAAGGCCTTGTATTTTATATATATTGTCTTCTTACAATATAAAATAATAAACTTTTAATAAAATTTTCTCATGTTATCAATGAGAAATCTGACGTTCAGAGATTTTTGAGTAAATTACACAGGGTTACTTAGGCAGTAAGAGGTCCAGACTGGGTAAGAGCATTTGTATATAGATTTAAAATGTTTATGAAAAGTAAAAGACATTTAGGGATAGATGTATAAAAATCTAAGACATTTCGAGGCAGATGTATGCAAAAGGCATGAGTGTTGCCCAAAAGAAGGACGAGAAGACAAAGACAAGTGTAATAAACCTGACCATGTGTGATGAGCTCTGGCCAAAGGCTTGGTGAAAGAAGAGGGGTTGGAGGGCAGCGGGAGATTTGTCTGAAAGGTGGTGTCTAAATTAGGTTACTGAAGAATGGGCTGGGCTTTGGCAGATGGGACTGCATGTGGGCATCCTGAAAGGGTTGGTGTGTCTTGACCAGACCACTGAGGGGCGTGTGAGACATAAGAAGTCAATCAGGATGAATAGAGCACACGGTCACACTGGAAAGCAAGGCTGAAAGCACGTTAAATCATAGAATTTGTACATCATATATGTTTTTTCTAAAAAAGAGTTCATGCTTTCAAACAACACTTGAAAAATCAATTTTTATGTAAATTATCACCTTTAATATATTACCACTGCTTTTAGATTTTCTTAAAATACAGGTAGAGAAGTGAGGTCAATTCTTAAATAACTCTGACTTTTTCTATCTAATATTCTCTTTCTTTTTATTTAGTTCACTAGTGAAGTCAGTTAATGAGCAGAAGAAGGGGTAGATAGTTTTGAAAACAGAAACTTTTTATTGTTTTGGTACATCTGGCATGGTATCGTGACTCCCAAGCCCCACAGAGGGAGGTTGTTACTTAGGAAGTTTGAATATTAGCAGGTCACCAAGTAAGTACTACATCCCTGTCATGGATCTTTTTTCCTTACTTTATACTGTTTCTTGATGGTATTAACTTTAAGGCTTGAAATAGTGTAGTCACCAGTAAATAACATCCTTTCAGTATTGTTACCAAAAAAGGACTCCTGCTTCTCTTTACAAAATAGAGACTTATTAAATGCCTTCATTCAAATTAAGATATAACAAAGCTTTACAACTCATAGAACCAGTTCCTGTGGAACAACTACTATAGCAGTTTTTCTTAAATAAAGCTATAAAATTGTGACACAAGACAGAGACAGCAAGTTGTCGATCAAACCAACATTATACTGTATTCTCCGCTGTATTGAATGGTTATTCTTCCTCCGTCAGAATCAATGTCAAAGCTCTGCCCAGTGATCCCACCCTGGGACTCCAAGCACAGTTTGTGTAGTCACCCTGGGTCTTGGGGGAATAAAAGGCCTCAGGCTGAGACTGAAAGACTGCGGGTGAGGTGCCAGTGGTATCCTTTTCTCAGTGTAAAGGCCCCACTTTTGCCCACAGCCTGGCTTAGAAGTGCTGTATTAGATAGTGTAGAATTTCAACAAATACTCTGTGGGAGCTCTCTGCATTAAGCCCAGCATGGTGGAGGGGAAGCTGCCTTCTTGCCTTTTGTTTTGTGGTTATTTTTGTTCTTATTGTTTTTTTTTTTTTTTTTTTTTGTCTCTTTCTTCTATACTTTGGAACCAAGATAGCGTGGGGTGGGGTTCGGGGGAAGAGTTAGAGTTTCCTTATTTTGCCAAGTGGGCTTGAGCCCACCCCGTTTTATTTTCCTTTAAATTATAATTGAGTTAAGGCTCGGTGAGTGAGTGGATATTTCAGAAGAATTATTTCTACCCTTTATTTACTTTCAGCGCCAATAAGGATTTTACACTTTAGATTCAGCCTCCGGTTGTAGCTCATGCCAGTAATGCTGGTTTCTTTACTTCCTGAATTAATCTTAGAAAAGGAACTGTTTTGTTTGCCTAACAGTTTTAAATTAACTTACATAATGTAGTCATTTTTAAGTGTATGACTTTCTATTCCTGGCACCTTGTGTTGGGATGGAATACATAAGAGCTGTAAGCTACAACTTTTATTCCGAGATGCTTGACATGCAGCGGAGGAGATAGGACTGACTTATTATAATAATGGCAGTTTAACTTCCTACTTAAAATCCATGTTCCAGAACTCTCCAATCTGTAGAAGCAGGAAATTAGTTGAAACAGCTGCCCTTCCAATGAATTACAGTCATTGATAAGATACAAGGTAACATGTCAGAATGGTTCCTTAGTTCATTTTACCTAAGATCTGTAGTCAAACATGTTCAATAAGTCATTGTGTTCATTGGATTTAATGGTGTTTACTTTGTTGCTCCCGATAATTATTCCTTCAAGAAAAGCCAAATATGACCAAAGGAAAAAATAAACTGATGAAGAAAAAGAAAGTATTCTCTTAAGCACACCTCTTCCCATGAACTGAAAGTCTTTGATGTTATATGCAATTGTGTAAAAAATTTTGCCTTTGAGATTGTTCACTGATAATTTTTTATGACACGTTATTGTGTTTTGGGGGGTCTCTTTGAGACAGGGTCTCACTATGCAGTTCAGGCTGGTCTTGAGCTGACTTTGTAGCACAGGTTAGTCTTGAATTCACAACAATCCTCCTGCCTCTGCCTCCCGAGTGCTGGACTACAGCACTCGCCACCATGCCTGACTGAAACTTCATTGTTGAATAACACCTAATATATATGGAAAGTGGTAAAATCAGAAAAAGTGACTAGTACAAGATGATACAGCCAAGATTTGCCAAACCCTGACTTTAGAACTCATCGATACTTAAAGTACTTTCCTTAAAGTCTCACTTGTGAAAGAAAAAATTAAAAAGCGAAGAACTCAGTACTATTTTAATGTAAATTTTAAAGAACATGGTATTTAAAATTTGAGGGTTTTAAAAACATGAATATAGCCGCGCCTGGCCACAGGTCTGCAGAGGAGGAGCTGGGCAGATCTGGGGTGCCCTCACTGGCCTCTCTGCGTGTCTGGAGGACTCTGGATTTCTGCGCCCAGACTGCTGGAGTTCCCTCAGGCTTCCAGGTGCAGTGAAGGCGAGAGGTGGGTTTGAGGCTTCCACATCAGCCTCCCCATTCCCGGCTTCATTTGGAGACCTGCTGAGCTCCCGATAGGTGGGCTGGCCCACACTACCAGCCTAGCCCAGCCTGTTTAGCTGCCGCGCCTGGCCACAGGTCTGCAGAGGAGGAGCTGGGCAGATCTGGGGTGCCCTCACTGGCCTCTCTACGTGTCTGGAGGACTCTGGATTTCTGCGCCCAGACTGCTGGAGTTCCCTCAGGCTTCCAGGTACAGTGAAGGAGAGAGGTGGGTTTAAGGCTTCCACATCAGCCTCCCCATTTCCGGCTTCATTTGGAGACCTGCTGAGCTCCCAATAGGTGGGCTGGCCCACACAACCAGCCTAGCCCAGCCTGTTTAGCAGCCGCGCCTGGCCATAGGTCTGCAGAGGAGGAGCTGGGCAGATCTGGGGTGCCCTCACTGGCCTCTCTGCGTGTCTGGAGGACTCTGGATTTCTGCGCCCAGACTGCTGGAGTTCCCTCAGGCTTCCAGGTGCAGTGAAGGAGAGAGGTGGGTTTAAGGCTTCCACATCAGCCTCCCCATTCCCGGCTTCATTTGGAGACCTGCTGAGCTCCCGATAGGTGGGCTGGCCCACACTACCAGCCTAGCCCAGCCTGTTTAGCTGCCGCGCCTGGCCACAGGTCTGCAGAGGAGGAGCTGGGCAGATCTGGGGTGCCCTCACTGGCCTCTCTGCGTGTCTGGAGGACTCTGGATTTCTGCGCCCAGACTGCTGGAGTTCCCTCAGGCTTCCAGGTACAGTGAAGGAGAGAGGTGGGTTTAAGGCTTCCACATCAGCCTCCCCATTCCCGGCTTCATTTGGAGACCTGCTGAGCTCCCGATAGGTGGGCTGGCCCACACTACCAGCCTAGTCCAGCCTGTTTAGCTGCCGCGCCTGGCCACAGGTCTGCAGAGGAGGAGCTGGGCAGATCTGGGGTGCCCTCACTGGCCTCTCTGCGTGTCTGGAGGACTGTGGATATCTCTGCAACCAGGGAGGGTCCACAGGTTCCTGAAGCACTGCGGCCTGTGGTGAGTACCCTAACCCGGCTGCGATTGAAGAACTGTGGAGCTTCCAAGGGGCAGGTGGGCGCACAGTGTCCCTGAGGCCCAGTTTGTCTGGAACTGCGGAGTTCTGAGCAGGCAGAGGAGGGCCACTGGTTCTGTAGGCCTAATGGCTTGGAGTAGCGCGGCGCCAGAGTCCCAGTAGCTCCAAACATAGAAGGGGATTTTCAACAGATCCTGAGGAAGCTTTCAAGTAACACTTGAAACACAGAAATATAGGAAAATGACAAAACGAAAGACCAAATTACAACCTCAAACCTCCAGCCCATCTCAAGAAACCCTAGGAGCGATGTATATAGAAGAAAATATATCCCATCCACCTCATATATTGGACACAATAGCCACTGAAATTGACAAGCAACTCCAGGAAGCTTTAAAGAAATTCAAACTCGAAATAATCTCCCAGATAAAAGAAGAAATGATAAAAGAAATGAAAGAGATTCTAAATATATCTAAAGAAAACACAGATAAAAAATTGGAGGAACTAAACAAAAAGATAGAATCCCTAGACGAGCAATATAAGAAACAAACAGAATACATAATGCAGATGCACAGAGATATACAGGAAATAAAAAACTCCACTGAAAGTTGTAAAAACCGCCTTAATGAAAGTGAAGATAGAATTTCAGACCTTGAAGACAGGATTGCAGCTAGTGAACAGGAAAGGAAAGATCTTTTGAAAATAA